AGCAGGCACCTCGGTGGCTCAGTCAGTTGAGCATATGACTCTTAGTTTCAGATCCGGTCATGATCTCAGGGTCTTGGAATTGAGCCCCACGTAGGGCTCTGTGCTTAGTGGGAAGCCTGGTTGGGATTCTCTCTTCTGCCCCTCTCTCCACTCACACACATGCTTGCGCGCTCTCTCTCTCTCTCAAATAAATATAAAAATATTTTTTAAAAATAAATGAATATGCAGTACATTCTGTCTTCAGAGGTGGCAAGAGGTAAATGCCCTTACCTGTTACCTTCTTTCCACTAAAGAGACCCTTACTTGGAGGAAGAAAATTCTACAGACAAGTAAAATGAACATTTTGACTTTAGTTGATTTACTCAGCCAATTGTTAAGGCATTCTTTTAAAACTTTTGTCATTTACTTGTGCAGTTTTGGCTTCTGGTATTCAAAATATTCTAAATGCCTGCATTCACATGCCTTTCACAAGTTTTTAAAGGTGTCTGGGGAATTTCACTAATCCCAGCGATTTAAAATTCTAAAGGTCAGGAAGTGTATCACTGCGTACTTAAACAATGACCCTGCAATAGTACAAAAGTGAAATATTGATTATGCAAATTGACAAGTACATGTTATCCACTATGCTATTGCAAAATATTGAACTGAATTCCAGGAGGGGCAGGCTCTAGTCCTAGCCTGTCCACTCAGAAACTATTTGATATTAAGTAAATTATCACAGTCTCATGAGCCTCTATTACATAAGAGACAGATTAGATGAATGTTGATGGTCATTCAAAATCTCAGATTCAGTGAAATATTTATTACTCTAGTGACCCTTCAATTTACAACTATTTGGTTTTCTTTGGGATGGTAAGAATCTGAAACATGATAATAAGCCTCTAAGAGACTGCCTCAAATCACAGCTCTGATATGCTATATTTATCTGAAAACTGGCCATTTGCACACTCTCTTCTGAGGGTAGGTCCATCTGGAACACCAAATTACAGATCAGACATGACTTAATGAATTTAGGATCAGAACATATGACATTGTGTTTTTGAAAACCTGCTTCCTTCAAACTAAAATAGCTTGTTAGACTTCAACCATTACAGAAATATATCAATTTAGATACTCAACATCAATCATGAGAATCGCAGTATTCTCTCTTCTGATGAATTCTAGAGAAATACCTTTAATGCTCATTTTCCACTCCATGTAGCCTGGTGACCCTACAACTACGACATTACCTCACCTCTATTATAAATAATTAGATAATGATTTTGTTACAGTATTTGTTTTCTCTTCCTTCAAGCAGGGACTCATAGTGCCCTCAGCCACATCCCTTGGCCCCCAGGATTTTAACACACTTATGAAGGACAATTCCATGGAAGTGGCCAGTGTAGGGGAGTAGAATTTACCACCCAAAATATGTCTCTTTGGCATAAGAGTTATTTTAGGCTGGTTATTTTTGAGAAACTGAAGAGAAGTTCTGGAAACTGAAAAGAAGTGATCCTTTTGTTAGAAACATTTATATTTATAAGGGAAATCTTACTTGTAGGGATATCTCCTTCATTGTACCATGAAAGGAGGATGACTCTAAATCTCTAGAAACTGTTATTAACAAAGAAGGCATAGAAGTGAAATCTGCATAACAACCTTAGCTCTTGTTTATTATGTTTGTTGAGTAATATCCCATAACTGACTTGGAATCAGCTGTTCAATTCATTTTGAATAAGTCTTAACATCTCTTCTTACATTAATACTCTTTCTTTTTAGAGAGGGCAGAGGGCTGGGAGAGGGGCAGAGAGAGAGAGAATCCCAAGCAGGCTTCACTTTCAGTGCAGTCACATGTGGGGCTCAGTCTCACCACCCTGAGATTATGACCTGAGCTGAAATCAAGAGTTAAACACTTAATGGACTGAGCCGTCCAGGTGTCCTACATTAGTAAACTGTTAAGATTTATTGCTTAGGATGATTTGGGGATTGAACAGGCATATTGTCCTTGAAGTTAAACCTTTTAAAACAAGGCAAAGACTTTTTGAATTAATACTTTTGAAACTTTTTGGAATTTACAATAATACCTAAACATGAAAGGAATAAATATATTTGCATTCATTAAATCCAAACACAAATTTACATTTGTGAAACCAAAACTCTGTCAACAGTTCTTAAAATAATTTTATGTTATTACTTCACTTTCATTTGATTTTTTCTTAATGAAGTTTTACCTTTAAATAAATGCTTTTTTTTTACAAAATACTAATAGAGCCCTACATTTTGCACAGCACCTTCAAGTATTGAAATAACTTTGACTTTATTCTTTTTAACTGAGTCTCAGAAGAAAACATTATGAGATAATGATAATACCCAATTTTACAAACTGCAATCACACTGTTAGTAAGTAAATGTGTCCATATTCAAATCTAAGTCTCCCTGTTATTCCAAAGAAGATGGACAGATGGCCAATAGACACATGAAAAGATGCTTAACATCACTCATCATGAGGAAATACAAAGTACAGAAGTACAATGAGATATCACCTTACACAAGTCATAATGGCTAAAATTAAAAATGGGAAACAACAGGTGTCAGTGAGGACGTGGAGAAAGGGGAACCCTCTTATACATTTAAGTTAAGCAGCCAACTCTTGATTTTGGCTCAGGTCATGATAGTGGGAATGCAAACTGGTACAGCCACTCTGGAAAACAGTATGGAGGTTCCTCAAAAAGTTAAAAAGTTAAAAATAGAACTCCCCTATGACCCAGCAGTTGCTCTACTAGGGATTTACCCAAAGGATACAAAAATACTGATTCAAAGGGACATATACACCCAATGTTTATAGCAGCACTATCAACAATAGCCAAATTATGGAAAGAGCCCAGATGTCCATCAACTGATGAATGGATAAAGAAGTTGTAGTGTGTACATGTGTGTGTGTATGTGTGTATAATAGAATATATGTACACATATACACATATGTGTGTAATGGAATATTATTCAGTCATCAAAAAGAATCTTGCCATTTGCAACAACATGGATGGAGTGAGAGAGTATTATGCTAAGCAGAATAAGTCAGTCAGAAAAAGACAAATACCATATCATTTCACTCATGTGTGGAATTTAAGAAACATAATAGATGAGGGGTTCCTGGGTGGCTCAGTTGGTTGAGCTAACTCTTGATTTTGGCTCAGATCATGATCTCAAGGTCCTGGGATCAAGCCCCATGTTGGAGAGTGTGGAGTCTGCTTGAAGATTCTCTCTCTCCCTCTCCTTCTGCCCTTCCCTCTGCTTGCATGCAATCTCTCACAGATAAATAAATATTAAAAAAAAAGAAATGAACATGGAGGGGGGAAGAAAGGAGCAAACCCTAAAACAGACTCTTAACTATAAATAACACATTGAGGGTTGCTGGAAGGGAGGTTAGTGGGGGGGGGGGTAAACGAGTGATGGGCATTAAGAAGGGCACCTTCTTGTGATGAGTACTGGGTGTTATATGCAAGTGATGAATCACTAAGTCCTATGCCTGAAACTAAAAACAAAAACTAAACAAGACAAAAACAAATCTATGTTTCCCAGTTCCAATCACAGTAATAAGCCATTCATCCTTTAAGTATTAACATTTCCTTGGAGAATGCCTTAAAAATCACCACAAGCTTTCCACAGAGTGAGACAGAAGCAGTTTTTCGCAGGAGTATTCAATAAAAAGTCAAAAAATGGTCTCTCCTTCATGGAACAAACATCAGAAACAAGTAGCCATACCAGTTCATCAAGAAGAAACATTGATCACCTCTCAGGTGTCTGGACTTCAGGAAAGATGGCTTCATTGAACATGCAAGGCAATTGCAGCAAGCTGCTAAAACACAAGCGCTTTGAGGGACTCATTTTGATATATCAAATCAATGATCCATCAAGTCAAAAATCTCTCTAAGGTAGAATTTGACATGATAGACTGTAACAATTGCGTGGGACCTGTTCAGGTTTATTACATTAATGGTATTCTGCATTTAGCCAATAGGTTAGAGCAAATCTTAGAGGCATGCTAAAGCTCTGAAAAAAAGTGACCATTGATCAATAAGATGACCTGGTAGTGTGTGAATGCTAGAGTCCCAGCCAAATGCCCTCTGTGATTCCACAGAGTTCCACCATGACCGGCTTCTGTGTGGTGATAACTTTGCTATGCTCCTGTTTACTTGCTAGCAATTATATCTTGAGGAAGCAAATTCCTATCTCTCATACAAAATGTGTTTGGTACTCTGTAACCTAGTAAAGTAACAAAGGACTTAAAATGACTTAATGCCCCCAGAAAAATATTAAGAGCATTAATATTGACACTATAGAAAGGTAAGTCCCTTGCAGTCACAAAATCTAGGACCAGTTCTTGGCACCAAAATAATGAAAAAGGGACTATAACAAAAAAAGACTGAAGGAGGAAAAATTGGCCTGAAAACTTTGCTTGAAATCATGTTGGTTTCTCACCTCCACCACCTTTAAGCCATTGATCAAGGCTTTCTCTTCCATGGTGTTGCAAGCAACCTGCAAGCAAAGTTATCCTTTATCCAGCATTGTTTTTATAAACTAATAGCAAAAAAACAAATCAAAAACAAAAACAAAAAATTCAAAACAAACCAAAAAAACCCTTCACCTTTCCAGAAATGCACCCACTCTCTGATGAGTGATCAGAGCATATTGTTTAGTAACAGCATACTAAATTAAAATAATAATACATTAAATTATTTAAATATTTTAGAAGTTTGGTGTTAATTTTAAACCTAACAAGTGGTGGTTCCCTTTCCCTTCCTGAATAATTTAATCATGAACCCATTAAGTAGGGCACAGCAAAGTAGGTAAACAGGCCAGCAGAGGTGTGGGTGTGGGGAGCCGAATGGCCCAGCTCAGGCTACCAGGAACTGAAGGAAGTGAGGAAATCTGTATAGGAATGCTATCCAGGGTGGTGTGTCACAGCCTTGTAGAGTGAGGAGAGCCTGCTGCAGGGCAGAGAGTAGCATGGATGATGGCGACTTGGTTACATACAGGCATGTGATCAGATAAGAAAACATATTCCGTATAATTGGAGCTGGGTTCCTCACTGTCGGAGAAGAAAGATATAAATATTGAAATGGAAAAAAAAAAAAAAAAGAAAACTCCATGGTGGTGGATTGAAATTGACGGTATTGGTATGAATGTATGGATTTCAAACTGTCTAGATCAAGTAAGAAATAAATATATATGTGCATGTGTATTTATTATTTATATATTCCTTACTTTTGCCCTCTGAGAGTCTGGAAGCAGTGACATTCCAACAACAATGAGCACATTTAGAACCCAAATCTTGGCTTCTACATACTCTTCTCTAAGGAACAAGATTCCTTAGAATAATGACCAATACGAAGATGGGGCAGGGAAAGTATGAGATGAGAATGGTATTTTGTGCTGGGAAGTAGAGAAATGTTCAAAGAATAATGGAGCTACATCAAAAGAATATAGAAACAAAGTGGCTCCCACAATTTTAGCATCAAACTAAATACACTGGTAGATTTTAGTCCATTAAATAAAATAGTAGACCATGAGCCTATAAAGACATCAAAGGTAAGTGAATAACTTGAAATTTGAAGAGGAATGAGGTGTTTGCATTGTCTTAAAGCACCATGAAGGGTTCCTGGGGGGCCTCAGTCTGTTAAGCATCCAACTCCTGGTTTCAGCTCAGGTCATGATCTCAGGGTCATGAGATTGAGCCACGTGTTGGAATCCACACTCAGCAAGGAGTCTGCTTTTCTCTCCCTCTCTGTCTGCTCCTCCCCTTCCCCCACTCATGCATGCACACTCTCTATTTTTGTAAAATAAATACATAAATTGAAAAAATAAAGTACCTCACCATGCAATACTTCTCATTTACAAAGGAAGAAAGGGTAACTGCAATGTGAAGAAACCTGGGTATCAAGGTGCACATTAACCTGGGTATCCAGACAGCACTTTAACCTGGGTATCAAGGCACACATTAACAGTAACTGGACAGGTCAAAATCCTGCACCTGAGACATGGTGCAATGAGGAGAAAGTAGCATCTCTTTTGTGATGTTCCTGCCCAAGATGCATTAATTTTATCACAAGGTAAAATAAGACATATCCAAATTGAAGGACAATCCACAAAATAATTGGTCCATAAGCTGTAATAGTGTCCAGTTGATGAGATTCAAGGAAAAAGACTGAAGACTTTCCTAAACCTACAGGGGCTAAAGAGACAGGCCAGTTAAATGTAGTGCATTATTCTAAGCTGGATCTTTCCACTGTGAAGGACATTGCTGGAACAACTGGAAAGTTTGAATCAGGATGGAAGAATGGATGATAGTAATGTATCAATGTTAGTTTCCTGATTTTGATGTTTCTGTGGTAGAGCATCTTGAGTTGTTGTCTATTGGGGCCTCCTGGGGTCCTGAGGTATCATGATGTTGGCAACTTGTTTCCAAATGGATTCAGGGCTCCAAATTCTTTATAAATTCTTCCAACTTCTTGTAATTTCATTATTGTTTCTAAAAAAAATTTTAAAGCCTAATGAGTTGTTACAAATACCTGGTATATATTAATGAGGGCATAAAATACATAAAATAAAATAAATTATTTCCCACAAAACAAAACAAACATGTATAACCTGCAAGAGACCCCCACACCTTAAATGATGTTCTTATTCTAAATCCTATCCTAAGTTTAGATTAAAATAAACTGGTTAAAACAAATTAAGAATACATTCATTTACTGTATGATATAAATAATAAAGAGACTGGGGAGGAATTAAACCAATTAAATTTTACTCAGCTATTACCTATTCCCTCACCCACATCTAAAGAGAAGTTGAGAAAATCATTCAATAGGACAGGGTGCTATTTAGCTTCATACTATTGCCAAATGAGATCTGTTAGTCCTTGTTTTTCCCTCTCTGGGTTATTTTCATACAGATTTGACTATGAAACAAGCTAGTCTCAACATCAAAAGGAAGAAGGAGAGAATTTTGTGGCTGAAAAAATACAACTCCTTTCCTTCTTTGTACAAGATTTAAACATGTCTATAATTTTTAAAAATTTGATTTAATAATTAAATTTCACTGGTAGCATTTGCTTATTAAACTAGTGATTGATAACTGTTAAAAATAAAGTTGCAGATTGTGATGCCAGCTTGCCAAGTCCAAGATGGACGTTCCAGAATGGTGTTTCCTCTCCCAAATAGTCTTGAATGCACTAATGTTATTTCAGCCCATATGTGATTACAGTTCACCATTTTTTCAATTGGTTTTTCTTAAGCAATTACAATTAACTGGCATGTGTCCACGTCTGTCTTTCTATCACAGGAGGCAGTGCCACGAAATGAAAAGGGGACTGGATAAGTCTGGAGTGGGCTCTGCTACAATTTAACCTTGGGCAAATCACTAACCTCAGTATGTTTCAGTTTCCATTTCTATAAAATTAAAGGACCAAGAAAGACAATTTCTAATGTTCCTCTGAACTTGTCTTTTGTCTTCATTTGCATTCAAGATATTTTCTTAATTAAATGGCAAATGACCAACTTTAATTTCTGTCTCATTTTCTCATAGTACCTCATATAGTTTTTTGTTGTCAGTGTTGGGGTTTTTTGTGCTTATCACAGGGCCTCAGACTATCAAATTCTGATAATTAATAAAATTATCAGTATCTTGTCTTAAACATACAGAAATGTTTTACAAAGTAGTGCAGAAATTGGGGTTCCTGAGTGGCTCAGTTGATTAAGCATCTGACTCCTAGTTTTGGCTTGGGTCACAATCTCAGGATTGTGAGATTGAGCCCTGAGTCAGGCTCTGCAACTCAGCACAAAGTCTGCAAGAGTCTCTCTCTTCCTCTTCTTCTGTCCCTTCCCTGCCTGCTTGTGTGCTCATTCTCTCTTAAAAAAATAATAGTGCGGAAATTATCCACTAAGCAAATGTGCTATTTTAGTGTTGTTTCAATTTATAGTTCCAGTTTTGCTCCTGCTAAGAAAATGTATTCTTTTTTCAGAGTGATAAAAGCCTGCTAATTTTCAGCGATTTCTGTGTTTGTCTTCTGATATGCACACCTGAGGACCAACCCTAGTAATATTAATCCTATTAAAAGTTCAAGCTATTTGGGGGCTACCAGTGAATCAGTAAATACAGTAAAAATGTATGTACTGCAGAAACAGTGAATGCAATCCATAAAATGTAACATATTTTTGCTACTTTAAGATACTCCTAAATTATTTTACTAAGGCTTTTCTTAAAAATTAGTAATTTATTTCAAAATTAATTTTCTTAGAAGTTATAACAAATCAGGTTATAACTATTTGAATTCTTAATGTTTCCTAAGGTATACAATTTATTTCCATTGTTTCATTATGTGAATTATTTGCAGAATATATGCTTTTAACACTGTGGTAAAAATGAATAGAAGGTTGCTAAGTAATATAATTTATTCCTCATTTAACCTTCTCAGAGATTGAATGTTGCAAATGAAGAGTCCTTGGTAACTTCAGATAAAATATCTCTTTTCTTTTCATTTAGGTATCTACTTAATCCAAACAGATTTTTAAAAATCCAACAACCCATAAATCCCAAGAGTGTCTCTGAGCATTAAGCTGACACAGGCACAAACACTCTGCTAAGAGTCTAGTGATGAAGATAATTTATATAAAGAATTTGTTTACACACTAAATTAAGTCACAACAGTGTGAGACTTCTTCTCAGACAGTGTGGTTTTATAAAAAGGGAGACACTTATAGAAATGCAAAGTGGTTCCCTAAGTCCAAATTTCACTTACATACTTCTATTTAAAAATTAAGATACAAAATCCTCACATCATTAAGAGAAAAATAACACCCTTCCACTGACAGATGAAAGAACCATCATAAATAATTTTCTTTAAAATTCTTGAGGAGCACCTGGTGGCTCAGGGGCACCTGGGTGGTGGTTGAGTGTTCTGCCTTTAGCTCAGATCATGATCCCAGGGTCCTGGGATAGAGTCCTGCATCAGGCTCCCTGCAGAGAGCCTGCTTCTCCCTCACCTATGTCTCTGTCTATCTCTCATAAATAAATTTAAAAAATATTTTTTAAAAAACAAAAAAGAACCCAACAAAAATAAATAAATAAAACACTTGAGAAATTTATTCCTATCAATTTATCGCAAAATTTAGTCAAAATATTCATCGAAATGTAATGAGCTGTATTAGTACACTAGAACAAACTCCTGTTCTCTAGAAGGTTAACTTCTAGCTACTTATTCTGAATCTGAATTGCCATACTCAGCAAAACTACACACACTATTAATACATTGGATTTACTAGGATAAAATTCTCAAAGTTGTGACAAATCAGTTATCATGAAGGATATTCACAAATATTAGTTACTACAATTACCTAAATACAGATGGGTTAGGGACTGAACAGAATAAATAAATCAAGACACTAAAATCTAATGCATGGCCCAAGATGGACTAATCTCTCAAACATGGGACTTATTATATCAAAAAATCTTGAAGAACTTTGCAACTTGGATGTTAACATTTAGCATCAGACTCCCAGAGATTACAGAAGCACTTTCATTTTTCTTTTTTTTTAAGATTTTATTTATTTATTCATGACAGGCAGAGAGAGAGAGAGAGAGAGACAGGAAGAGGGAGAAGCAGGCTCTGTGAAGAGAGCCCGATGTGGGACTCGATCCCGGGTCTCCAGGATCACACCCCGGGGCTGAAGGCAGTGCCAAACTGCTGGGCCACTGGGGCTGCCCAGCACTTTTATTTTTCAAGGAAAAACTATAAGATACAGAATATTTAATGACAAATATTCATACATTAAATTATCATTACTGTAGAGTTGTTTAGGGGAGGGGTAAAGAAAATACCCTATGACCCAGCAATTGCACTGTTAGGGATTTACCCCGAAGATTCAGATGCAATGAAACGCCGGGACACCTGCACCCCGATGTTTCTGGCAGCCATGTCCACAATAGCCAAACTGTGGAAGGAGCCTCGGTGCCCATCGAAAGATGAATGGATAAAGAAGATGTGGTTTATGTATACAATGGAATATTACTCAGCCATTAGAAACGACAAATACCCACCATTTGCTTCAACGTGGATGGAAATGGAGGGTATTATTTTCAGTGAAGTAAGTCAATCGGAGAAGGACAAACATTATATGTTCTCATTCATCTGGGGAATATAAATAATAATGAAAGGGAATATAAGGGAAGGGAGAAGAAATGTGTGGGAAACATCAGAAAGGGAGACAGAACATAAAGACTCCTAACTCTGGGAAACGAACTAGGAGTGGTGGAAGGGGAGGAGGGAGGGGGTTGGGGGTGAATGGGTGACAGGCACTGAGGGGGGCACTTGACGGGATGAGCACTGGGTATTACTCTGTATGTTGGTAAATTGAGCACCAATAAAAAAATAAATTTATTAAAAAAAAGAAAAGATCCAATTTTTTTTCCCTGTGACAATTCTGGAATATGAATTAACTGAAGAGATTATGGCAATTGGGAAAAGTTTAGACAGTGTTAAATATTTCAAAGCCCTAGGAAACCACACAAATGTAGACAGAGCTTATAAACTCCAGAAATCATTTGCAAAAAAAAGCAGGAAAGTCAGACCAGGAATGATTACAACAGCAAATTTGGCTTGGGAGCTCATTTCTGCCTTCTCATGTCTGTAACCATAGCAACAAGCAGGGGACCCCAGAACAGAAGAGGTGCTCTTTAAATATGAGCTGAATCAATAAATGAATGAGCCTGAATTTCAAATCTGTTGTCTTTTTCTTTTGAAAAATCAGAACAGGACTTCTCATCCAGTGTCTGACTCAGCATTTGGCATTTCCCCTTCTGCTCATTCCTGAGTTTTGTGCTTTCCTGGACTTACATAAACTCTTCTAGGCAGATGGAGTCCAGAGAGATGACAATATGACAGACAGATCTGCATTCCATCCCTTGATCATTTAGAGAAAAAGATGATTCTTTCAATTTCATTGTCCTTTGAGAACCCAATTTAAAACATTTGTAATCTTTGTCCTCTCCAAACAAACAGTTTTTAGTCAACACTTAATAAAATGTATTACAGATTCTGTTTTCACATGGTTCATAATGCTAATGAATTCATCAATCCATTATCACACATCTTTCTGTAAATGTCAAACAGGATGTAGCTGACAGGGTCATGATCATTAAATGTAAGTTCATGGATGTACATATTTGTTCTTGATGGGAGTCATCTATGGCCAGCTTTTGACTTTCTGTGCTTCTATTACTTCAATGTCAATAATTGTATACAATATTCATATTACCCAGACACTACATGCCAAAATTTCCAAATATCTATGCATATTTTTATATATGTAAATGGATTTCTTTTTTTTCTGTAAATAAAGACTTTTTATTCCTTCAAAAACAAAAAGCAAATTAGAAACAACACAAATGTCAATTTAAACTTTGTTTTTGGGGGAAATTAGCATATCATTAGCTGTATTTTCTCAAATAATTTTGATCTTTTTTTTAAATTTCAAGTTTTTACTTAAATTCTAGTTATTATGTATGGTAAAATTGGTTTCAGGTGTAGAATTTAGTGATTCATCACTTAAATATAACACCCAGTGCTCATTACAAGTGCCCTCCTTAATACCCATCACCCATTTAGCCCACCCCCCACCCACCCTTCTCAACTCTCAATTTGTTCTCTATAATTAAAAATCTCTTAACATTTGCTTCCCTCTTTTTCTCCCCTCCTTCTATGTTCATCTGTTTTGTTTCTTAAATTCCACATGAGTGAAATCGTATGGTATTTGTCTTTATCTGACTTTTTTTTTGTATATTTTTTATTGGAGTTTGATTTGCCAACATATAGTATAACACCCAGTGCTCATCCCGTCAAGTGCCCCCCTCAGTGCCCCTCACCCAGTCACCCCATCCCCCGCCCACCTCCCCTTCCACTACCCCATGTTCGTTTCCCAGAGTTAGGTGTCTCTCATGTTTTGTCACCCTCACTGATATTTTCACTCATTTTCTCTCCTTTCCCTTTATTCCCTTTCATTAATATTTATATTCCCCAAATGAATGAGACCATATAATGTTTGTCCTTTTCTGATTGACTTACTTCACTCAGCATAATACCCTCTAGGTCTATCCACGTTGAAGTAAATGGTGGGTGTTTGTCATTTCTAATGGCTGAGTAATATTCGATTGTATATATAGACCACATCTTTATCCATCCATCTTTCGATGGACACCAAGGCTCCTTCCACAGTTTGGCTATTGTGGACTGTAAATGGATTTTCTTTGTTACTTTGTAAAAGTCATTTTTCTAAAATATTGTTTTATTTTAACATTTTTTGGTATTTATCCTTGGTTGGTACTAATGAGTGTTTCCATGTATGGTCTCAAATAGGGTTTCTTGAGGTGAGCTTGAGATAAAGATCCTTAGGCAAGTGACTTACTGAGAGTGTTTCAGAAGAAACATGTACAGATGTGAAGGAATACGGTGGGGATGAAGCAAAGCAAGGATGTAGTTACAGCTGAAATCTAGGCACATTCTGGTCCCACAGGGAGTCTTCCAAGAGTAACAGCACAAAAATTAACCCACCTTGAGATGAAGGGGCTAGTTGGGAAGCTGTAGCCATCAGCAGCTAACACAGCAGCAGGGAGGAGAGCACATAGGCCTCCCAGAGGGTTTCTTTTCTGATATGTAATTTTACAAAAGAAAAATTGAACTTCCTATAGCTTGATGGTCTAGTTTTATTGTCTTAGTAATATGCCTATGAATCATGTTTTCCATATGTAAACATTTTATGTGAAACAATAAAACTGCAGCAATTTGGTAACCCACCACTGGACAACTAAAGAGTTATGAAGCAGATGAAAATAAAATGCTTAAGTGGTGCCTGTAAGAAAACCTTAAATTCTAAACACAGCCTTATCCTGGGAATTCGATTCTGGAAATTGCATTCCATGAATGACTACCACTATGCAAATTCCAGGATGTTATTCAACTTCCAAATTTTGAGGTCACAAATGGGATTAATTCAGGAAATTTCTATGACTCATAAGTGAACAGCAGCTCACCAGCACTGACGGCAGTTTTGCTTTCACCAGGGTAGGGTTTCCCTTCAGTAATGGCAATGGGCCCAGTGCAGCAGTGGCTCTTCCAAAGCAGCACAGTAATGGACATGTACTATTAAATGAGACTACAGCAGCTGGAGAACACAGTCCTTCATTACTTCATTTAAACCTGCTCTCTAATGTTAGCCTTCATTTGTTCTTTCTGTGCCCTTTATATTTAGTGTCTTACAGGTTCCGTCATGAATTCTTTCCTGTTCAAGTTCAATGTCATAGATTGCTTGTTCCTCTTTCAAGGGGTTAACTACTAAATATCCATCCTCTCAGGTGGATCAAAAGAATCAGAAATCTTTCCCTCTTGTGCTTGATGGATACATTTATGACTGAGCCCCTCATTTGGGCATGGTTATTAGCTTTGGGCATCAAGACCACCCCCTGGTCTTCCTTATAGCTTTGTCCATATGGGGTGAAGGATGAGAGCAAAAGGCTCTGGAAGGAGGCACATGCCAACTTAAAGGGCTGCTATGGCTCTTCTTAGTCTCTTTGCTTGTACAGGTGCTCTGAGCTAGGGGCAGTAAATGAAGATTAAAAATGAAGCTGTATAGCTTTCAAAAGGGGAGAGGGAAACCAGAGCACTGCTAGCATACATCTAAGAATAAAATGTGATGCAGCCCCTACAGAACCTCTTATATGATCTTAAAGACATGGAAATACTGAAATTTTACAGGAGAACATAGCCATCACTTTATGAATAAATGAGTGCTGAGTCCTATGGGATAGCTACATAGGCTCACAAACCACAATCCACAGAGATGAAGCGAGTCTTCCAAAAACAAATACTAGGGGAGGATTTGAGGTCAGATAAAAGGTGTGCCCTCTTCCTATATGATAAAAGGTGGAGCTGAGGAAAGGTAAGTGCAGACTGGAAACTGGGGTTTGAGAATTTTCTTCTGTAGGCTGTCAGCATCACCAGGGCAACAAGCCAGGATTGAAATTCATCTTCTTCCTTATTTCTGAGTCCTTTACTTCAACCTGTTTAATCTGGAATTGAATCTATGACATATCTCCTCCATTTTATATAGCTTTATCTGGCAAGACTTGGCTATACTTGGGACAATATTAGAAAGTCCTTCAGGATCTTAATTTCTTTTCAGCAATTTATGTGTCACTTTAGAAAGGAGATATCGATGAAGTCTATTTCCCACTCAACATTTGATAACAAATGAGACGCAGAGAAGTTAATGGCTTATCTGATGTCACACAGCAATCTAGTGGGCAGGTGTAAATCACTGCACAATCTTTCTTCTCCTAATGATTAATTCCAACTGGTAAGCTACATATTAAGCAATTATATTTTCTCTCTGAAGACTCTTTATGTGAGAAGCACTATATAAGCCAGAAATACTAAACTATTCGTACCACAATATTTCTTTCTTCTATGTCTGTTTATACCATTCTCTCTTCCTGGAAAGTTACCCAACCTATTTTTATACCCATGTTCTACATCCCTACCTTTCAGTAAGCCTTTTGCAGTAACCCCAAGAAGGGTTACGAATCTCATCAATACTATATTGTATTATAACAACCTATTTATGGATATTTCTCTCCAACAAGAAGTGCATGTCTTAAATATCTTTATATCCATCAAGTCTAGTACAGTGATTGACAGAGTGTAGGTGTTTAATAAATTTGTATTGAATAAATGGATGAGCACTTTAATGAATATAAATATGAGCACATAAATAAGCAGTGAACAGAAGTATCTTCTGTGAGAGGTTATAGACAGTGTTTATAGAGAAGCTAAGAAATGATGATAGCTTATGTAGATAACCAAGAAAGATGCAGGTTAAGTGCTATTTTTGCTTTCCTGTATAATGTAGTCTACAATTATTTCTGCTGCAGAAAAAACTAGTTACCCTACTGTCAGGTTCTGTCTAGATCCTTAAGAGTCCAGAACCCCAAGTGCCCACCAAAGCTGCCCAGAATCTGTAACAGTATTTGATATGCAGTAATTGCTCATTGATCATTAACTGGATAAACAGATATCCAGAAATTTTATGATTATCACATAGAGTATTTTAAGGAGATAAGATTAGAATCACCAACTATTTACCATCCCAAAGACAGGAGCACAAAAGAAGGCTTCAATCCAGCAATTCTGTACCTAGGTATATACCCAACAGAAATAAAAGCATATGTCCACACAAAAGATCATTATTCATAAAGACAAAAAGGGAGAAGACAACCCAAATGTCTACCAACTGACAAATGGATAAACAAAATATAGTACATCTATACAATGAAATTATTTGGTCATAAAAAGGAATAGAGTACTAATACATGCTACCACATGGTTGAACCTTGAAAACATTATGTGAAGTGAAAGAAGCCAATTACAAAAGACTATGCATTATATGATTTAATTCGTATGAAATATCCAGAAAAGGGAAATCTATAAAGAAAGAAAGTAGATTAGTATCTGCTTATGGCTGGTGGGGTTTGAGCGTGACAGCTAAAGGACATGAGGTTTTCTTTTAGAGGTGATGAAAATGTGTAAGATTGTGGTAATGGTTGCATATCTGTGATTATACTAATAACCACTGAAGTGTACACTTTAACTGGTGAATTGTATCATGTGTTAATTATACCTCAATAAAGCTGTTAAAAAATGACAAGAGGGGGAGAGAGAGAGAGAGAGAGAGAGAAAATTGAAAACATCTCAGACCGAAGGCTCCCCATCAGAATCTTCCCAGTGTGTTCACAAGATTCATTTCTGGTATTGGCTGAAGACGGCCCAGTGTGTGCCCTTATTTCTACCTTGTCCATGTCCAAGGCTCCAACCACAGCTAACACTCAGTCTGTCTTAGCCAACTACCACATTGTGAATTTTTCCTTCGTGTGTGTGTGTGTGTGTGTGTGTGTGTATAATAACCAGTTGAACCAGATATAAAATCCTTGTTCAAGCCACATCCATAGTTTCACAACCAAACTAGCATTTATCGAATGCCCATTATGTGCCAAGCACTCAGCGTATGTCATTTTTTTTTATAAATTAATTTTTATTGGTGTTCAATTTACCAACATACAGAATAACACCCAGTGCTCATCCCGTCAAGTGTCCCCCTCCGTGCCCGTCACCCATTCACCCCCACCCCCCGCCCTCCTCCCCTTCCACCACCCCTAGTTCATTTCCCAGAGTTAGAAGTCTTTATGTTCTGTGTCCCTTTCTGATATCTCCCACACATTTATTCTCCCTTCCCTTATATTCCCCTTCACTATTATTCATATTCCCCAAATAAGTGAGAACATACACTGTTTGTCCTTCTCCGATTGACTTACTTCACTCAGCATAATACCCTCCAGTTCCATCCACGTTGAAGCAAATGGTGGGTATTTGTTGTTTCTAATGGCTGAGTAATATTCCATTGTATACATAAACCACATCTTCTTTATCCATTCATCTTTCGATGGGCACCGAGGCTCCTTCCACAGTTTGGCTATTGTGGACATGGCTGCTAGAAACATCGGGAAGGAGGAAAGACGATCCACTGGAAGAAAGACAGTCTCTTCAATAAATGGTGCTGGGAAAATTGGTCATCCACATGCAGAAGAATGAAACTAGACCACTCTCTTGCACCATACACAAAGATAAACTCAAAATGGATGAAAGATTTAAATGTGAGACAAGACTCCATCAAAATCCTAGAGGAGAACACAGGCAACACCCTTTTTGAACTTGGCCACAGTAACTTCTTGCAAGATACATCCACGAAAACAAAAGAAACAAAAGCAAAAATGAACTATTGGGACTTCATCAAGATAAGAAGCTTTTGCACAGCAAAGGATACAGTCAACAAAACTCAAAGACAACCTACAGAATGGGAGAAGATATTTGCAAATAACATATCAGATAAAGGGCTAGTTTCCAAAATCTATAAAGAACTTATTAAACTCAACACCAAAGAAACAAACAATCCAATCATGAAATGGGCAAAAGACATGAAGAGAAATCTCACAGAGGAAGACATAGACATGGCCAACATGCACATGAGAAAATGCTCTGCATCACTTGCCATCAGGGAAATACAAATCAAAACCACAATGAGATACCACCTCACACCAGTGAGAATGGGGAAAATTAACAAGGCAGGAAACAACAAATGTTGGAGAGGATGCGGAGAAAAGGGAACCCTCTTACACTGTTGGTGGGAATGTGAACTGGTGCAGCCACTCTGGAAAACTGTGTGGAGGTTCCTCAAAGAATTAAAAATAGACCTGCCCTACGACCCAGCAATTGCACTGTTAGGGATTTACCCCGAAGATTCAGATGCAGCGTATGTCATTTTTAAGCCTCTCTATAATCCCAGGAAGTAGGCTGCATTACTTCATTTCACAGAGGACGACCTATGACCAAATGGAGCCAATTACATGGTATCACAATGTGGGAAATGATAGATTGAGGTTTAAGCTATGTGTGTGATTCACAACATCTGTGCTCCATTCACAATTTGTGTCCTCAAAGTCTACCACAGTACACAAATAAAACCAGTACGAGAGAGTATGGAATGTCTAATAAAGACAAACAACCTGGTCACTGTTCCAGAGTGAAACAGTGATGTGAGGATTCTGTTTTAAAATCCTGCCTTAATGGCCCAGACAATGGCAAAGGGTTGTCCTGGGTCTGGGACTATTCAAGCTGTCTGCTTGAAGAGGGAGATTTTAAATCTTGTTCTAGCTGAGCAAGCAATAGCATACTCTCAAGTCAGTTTCTTTTGTAGAATACCTACATTCTTGTTCCAAATTCTAGATGACAGTTCTACTCCAAAGACTTGGTGCATCTCTAAGGCCATATTAACTTCATATTAAAATATCAGATTGTGAGAGTGGAGTGGTCACTGAAGATGTCTGATGGTCTGTTCTGAGCAGTGGCCAGCAGCACTGTGGAATAGGCCAGCGACCACTCACAGCTGGGACGGGCTACAGAACAGCACGTAGCAGAGGTGGAAGTCCAAGTCAAACACAGAAGGCCAGCCTTGCTGAGCCACCAAGAGTGTCATCCGTATCCATGGTGATCTCAACAACAGCAAATACCTATGGTGAATTTCCAGGCTGAACTTAGGCGTTCTAAGGTGAGACACCAAGAGGGTGTTAAAGCAGTATTGGAATATCCAAGAAGCTGATTTCCCAGTGAAAACCTGGCTGACAATGTATCAATGTATTTGATTCACTTTACAATGTAACAAAAATATTATTCATGGAAAATAAATAATCAGATTGCTTACACCTTATGCTATGAACACTAGTATGCAGACATCCGAAGCACCACTTAAGTTTTATTCCTTAATCTATATCCTGTTACTTTCATGTGAGGATGTCTGAGGATGCTCTTTTTCCCTGATTCTTTGTCATATTCCTTTCTCGTCTTTCTTGCTGCACTTTTATCTAGACATTGTCCCCCATCCCGTTCTCTTTGGCAATTTTGAAAGTACACTGGCCAATTTCTTGTCATGTGATCCTTCATGAAATGCAAGCTCCTTCTTGCTTGTAATACTCCAGAATAATAAGTTCAGGTCTAATAAATCAAATCCAGCTTTGCTACCACCTATACGGCAAGTGAATGTTCGCTTTCTTATCTTCCTCCTCCAAAGTCAGTAACTTCAACTAGCAGAAAATATGAGAACATTCCCTCCACATAAATCAGAGTAAGCATGTAGATTAGAATATTAAAAGAATAGCATAAGGACACACAGAAAAGGAAGCAGGGATCTCTAGAAGCTTAAGTTGGCACAGATTCACCAGGAAATGCATGCTAGACTAACCTCTATTAGATAACTGGGTGGCATGGCACTTTTGGACTTGAACAGAGTGTATGTAGGACTCTCGTGACACTTTTATGGACAAGCTATATTGGGTTAGATAAGAACCTAATGAGATATAGTCATACCTGGCTGGACGATCATATAAAAACATAACTGACGGGTACTTTGTAGCTTTGACTTTACAAACTTACATAAAGATGCCCAAGGCAAGCATATCAAATTTGGGAGTGACTGCAAAGAATATTGCACATGAAGTATGACTTAAAAATAATCTCAGTGGGATCCCTGGGTGGCGCAGCAGTTTGGCGCCTGCCTTTGGCCCAGGGCGCGATCCTGGAGACCCGGGATCGAATCCCACATCGGGCTCCCGGTGCATGGAGCCTGCTTCTCCCTCTGCCTATGTCTCTGCCTCTCTCTCTTTCTCTCTCTGTGGCTATCATAAATAAATAAAAATTAAAAAAAAATTTAAAAAAGATATAAAATCCTTGAAAAAAATAATCTCAGTAGAGTGGATAATCACACAATGTCATCAAAATAATTTTTAAATTGGGTATACTCTATATGCCAAGTTAACAAAGGGTTACAAATAGAGGCACCTGGGTGGTGCAGTCAGTTAAGTATCTGATGCTTGGTTTCAGCTCTAAGAGTGACTCTTACTGGAGTGATACGTCATCCCCCATGTACAAATGGGTTTGCAGAAGTCAAATTTCAACCCAGTATAGGTCATAATCCCAGGGTCATGAGATTGAGCCCCACATTGGGCTCCATGCTTAGTGTGGAGTCTGCTTGGGATTCCCTTTCCCTCTTCCTCTCTTGCTTGTGTCCTCTCTCAAAAAAAAAAATCTTTAAAAAAAGGGTTATAAACTATATATGATTTAATATATTTCAGCATGTTCTTACTCTGAAAAAATGTCCCATAGAAATGGGTGATGGGCATTAAGGAGCGCATGTGATGTGATGAGTACTGGGTGTCATACACAATGATGAATTACTGAACACTACATCTGAAACTAATGATGTACTATATGTTGGTAATTGAATCTAATTTTTTTTTAAAAAGGAGAAAGAAAAAAAAAGAAATCATGCAACATTCCCATTCTCATCCCCATGACCTAGACCACCCTGTCCACGATGGTACCCACCAGCTACCTGTGGCTACTGAGCACTTGAAATATGTGCTCTGAGTTGAGATGTGCTGTAAGTGTAATATCCACAGCAAACTTCGAAGACAAAGCATGAAAAAGGATGTCAAATATATCGTTAATAATTTTTATACTGATTGCATATTGAAATGATAATATTTTGCATATATTAATAGACAATATATTATTAAAATTAAGTTCACTTGTATTTTTTTCCTTTACTTCAATATGGCTATACAAAAGTTTACAATTATCTATGTAGTTTGCATTATATTTCTACTGACTGCACCAATTTAGACCAGCACAGCAAATTTCATTGTGCCCTTTTCCTGGTTTTATCAGTCACCCCAAAAGCTCTAGATTCCTAGCTCAGCCCTCAGCACCCATCAGCCTTGAATATCCCCCAAAGTGAACACCCTCCACAAGTCCTGAATCTCTTTCATTGCACCTGGTGGAACCCATGGCCCATCTTTAGCCAAGTTCCCTCTCTCCCTCACCTCTTCTCTGCACATTTCCTTCCCCTTCTTGCTCTAATTCAGTGATTCTAAAACATGTCTGTGCATTAGAATCATGTTGAGAATTTTAAATAAATAAATGCCCAGGCCTCTTTTTCAGAATGTTCAATCAGAACCTCTGCTGTAGGGATAAAGCTTCTGAATGTTTTAATAGCTCATCCAAATGATTCAAATGTGCAGCTGGGATTAAGAACCACCCATTAAGCCAATGTCAACTTTCCACCTACTTCAGCCCTGCATCCATGCTAGAGAAAATGGGTGGAGAAAAACACACAGCGTGATGACTTGGTCCCCGTGAAAACTAACCTAAAGTGAATTTAAAGCTGTCCAGGGATGCCTGAGTGGCCCAGTGGTTGGGCATCTGCCTTCGGCTTAGGTCATGATCCCAAGGTCCTAGGATGGAGTCCCACATTAGCTTCCCTACAGGGAGCCTGCTTCTCCCTCTGCCTATGTCTCTGCCTTTCTCTCTGTGTCTCTCATGAATAAATAAAATCTTAAGAACAATAATAAGGTTGTCCAGCAATCCTACTATCTTTCCCGTGTCCATGCACTATCTTTATTTCCTTAGAGACATACTCTTCCCCTCCATCCTTACTCTCAGCCCATGACATCGCTGCCTAGTTAAGCAAAAACATAGAATAAATTAGTAACAGCCTTCCATAAATGCTCTCCACTGCATCTACCCAGGAGATGTCCAGGAATCTACCCATTACTGTCCTGTAATGTAATCACTAGTTACCCAAGGGGATCTGGCAACTATAACCTATAGGGCACAGTTCAGAATATCAGATGTTAGGTTTGAAGAGAAAAGAGAGGCATAAGGGAATATTGGATAAGTGTTTTAAAGCTTTTGAAGGGGTGTCTTGGAGATGAAAGTGGAGTCACTCTTGGTGTTTAGCTTTACTCCACAGGGCAGAATTGGGACTAAACACTAGAGGTAAAGAGAAGGTAAATTTTATTGATTGATTGATTGATTGATTGTTATATAACTAAAATGCAGCATTCTATTAGTTTCAGGTACAACATAATGATTCAACATTCAACATTCCTATACATTTCTCAGTGCTCATCA